ACTAGCATCGTATTGCGTGGAGTTCACGCAAGTAAAAGCTATTAATTGTCACTGTAAATTAAAATATTATGTGCGAAATTGGATAAACACGTAAGTTGGGAGCTCTTATTTCTCCGGTCTATTACAAAGCTAACTGCTAAAACTGTGGTAGATCTATGCTCTTCACATTTCACACGTCACACTTGTTTGATCGATGCGGCTCATCAGTTCTTTGTTTACAAAATCAATGGGTGATCTCTATCCTCATACTACATTCTGCACTGTCCAATTTGGAGCACGAAATGAATATTTTGTCGGTTTATCCTCATTGAAATGTTTATTTGCTGATCAGAATATTACTGTGCAAAGTTTGGAGAGTTTGGAGGAGTTCATGTGTGCTGATGTCTGTTTATGATTCAATCAATAATAATTTTGTAATTGTTCCAAGTAATTAATACCGGGACACTTGGGGGGCAGTTTGTGATCTGATAGATCTAGATATCTAGATCTAGATCTCTAGATATAATAAATGTCTAGATCTAGATCTAGTGTGTTAAAACCTGGAAAAACTGGTAAAGGACTCAGTCTCAACTTGCCATCATAGATATATATATAATTTTACTTTCAATTTGGTGCAGTGTAGAAGTAGAGAAGGGTCACTAAGATCCCATAAAGCTAAACTTTCACTGAGGTGACAGTGCCAAACTAATCTAGATCTGGATCTAGTCGGGCCTAGAATCCTCGGTCTAGATCTAGTGAGAGTCTAGAGGCTAGATCTAGGACTTAAATTTAAATTGTTGTAGATCTACAAGCTTGTGGAATTTGTGAATAACGTCCTTAACTCTTTGATTCCGGATCGCCACTTAAGTGACGTTTTGGGGTAGCAATTTCGTCAACCCCAAGATCTAAACCTATTTTCACGCATATTGCGATTTTCTGTACAATTACGAATGGTTTGAGTGCTCAAACAAACGAATCCATCAATATTTGACTGAATTACAGCCGTTTTATGATAGCATCCTTCGCGCCTTGTTGGGTAAAATTGCAGAATCCCCTGCGTATTGAAAGAGTTAAACTCTGAATTGACCAATGGTAGTCGTTGATTCAGTAGGCGGCAGTTTTGCAAAATTTAAGAAAGTAGGCCTAATTTAAGGTTGTTTCCTTTTGGACATTCACAGTTGAGAGCGATCTAGATCTAGATCTAGATATCTAGCTGTCTTCAAATTCAAAGGTAGTGTCAACATTGTAATTAATAAAAATGGCTGACATTTCCAACTCTGAAAAACAATTGATGAATGTCAATTTCGAGGAAGACACTGTGAATAGTCTTTACTCTGGAGAAGGCATGAATCTGAGCATTGATGGCATCGTTTTTCAAGGTGCACCAAGTAATTCTAGTTCTAGTTCTCATGCTCTAAGGGAAGATGTGAAATGTGATATTACAAGTGGAGAAAATTACTCTGAAGATAGGAGCAGTTCTCTGTTCTTGTTTGACCTCAAAGAACAAAAACCTGTTGTAAAAGTAAAAGACATCCATCTTCCATTGATAAAAGAAGAGTCTGGTTTTGAATGGCCGTATGATGTCAAAGTCGAGAGAAAAAATGAACCAGACATTGAAAACAGAAATATCGCAGTAAAAGATGAGCCTATTTATTTGTTTGGGGAGGAGGAAGAGATAAAACCTGTCATAGTCATGAAACCAGAGTGCTTCACAGATATTGGTATGGTAAAAACTGAACCACATTTTGAATATTTTCCTGACATTGATGATGAAGTGAAACCAAAAGTGGAGACTTTTGGGAAAGAGGAAGTGCCTGAATGGGAGGGTCCAGACTTTGGAGAGATGGGAAAGACAGAAGGACAAGTGGGAGATGTGGAGGAGCCCATGTTCGTTGAGGATCACATGAGTCAGGCTGGAAGGCTACAGCAGCAAATCTCCACTGTAAGGGGTTTGTCTATGGCGCAGAGTTCCAACCCAGACACAGATGTTGTTGCATCCACTCACCAAACTTCAACTTTCTCTGCTGATCCAATTCTTCTGGAATGTAATGTCTCAAATTCTGGCTTTAGGGTCAAGAATAAAGATTCAGGTTTCAACTTTTCTTGTGCTGTGTCTATTTCTGGTTCTGTAAATTTTTCTGAGTCTCCTTCTAGTACCACACAGCCAAAAGTGTACAAAGAAACAGATTCTGGTCATTCAGATAATCCCAGGCTTACAGTTAGGGAAAATACTTACTCAGAAGAAACACCTCTCCAGTGTAAAGTTTGTGGTGAACAGTTTACACAAAGTGATAACCTACTGAGACATAAAGAAATACACACTGGAGAAAAAAGCTTTACAAGTGTGAAGTTTGTGGTGCAACATTTGCAAAGAGTGACAGCCTTCAGAGACATAAAAGAACACACATGGGAAAAAATCTGACAGTGAATTTTTGTGGTGCGACATTTGTACAGACCGGATGCCATGCGGAGACATAGAAAAATACAACTTGGGATCAAAAATCTTTAACGAGTGACGAAGTCTGGTGATTGTCTAGTTTTACTCTGATACGAAGAACTTTAAAATTATTTTACCATAAAAGGCGCTACGAAAGTTGAGAAACCATCCTCACCGCAAAAGGAGGGGTAGGGGGACGTGAATCAGTTTGTAAGCGAAGGGGGGAAATCCCTATTTTTGGGGATGATAGAGGG